GTGTGTGTGTGTGTGTGTGTGTGTGTGCGCGCGCGCGCGCGCGCGCGCGCGTGTGTGTGTGTGTGTAACATTTAATTTTTTTATTATTCTGAAATCACAATAAATCTGACTTTCATGATCTCCAAATCCATGTCATGTAGAATATGACAGAGTGTGATCTGCAAGTGTTCCCCTGCCTCTTTGTCCCGTGAGTCTAACTGAAAGTGTATTTCTTATACTGACAAATTACCCAACAATTAATATCTCTGAAAACATGAAAAGGTTTACTATATTGATTTGTTGCATGTTTTTTGTATTAAGTATTTTGGACCCTAAATTAATAAATAATATAGTGATACTTACCATCTTTCATAATATTTTACTTGTCTCTGTGCTGCACCTTTATAGAGTAATTACTAAGATACAAACTGAAATCAACAAAGAAGAGCGCAAGAAGGCTACTAGTCACAAGTAAGAGCGTAATCTACATACACTATTTATATCTTCAGCTGACTCTAAAACAGTTGCTCACTGAACACCAAAAAAAAACCTGTCTGTTTTTTTTTGTCCAGATCAAAACCACTGAAGTATCCGAAACAAGATAAAGGTCAGTTCAACCGTGTAACATTGTGCTACCATCTTTCGTAAGGCTTCACTGTCCTCTTTTTACAATTTATTTCACTGCAGTATTTGTACAAGAAGAAGACGTTTGGGAATCTGATGAGTTCGTAAGTAAATACACTAGCCACTTCATTAGGCACACCTTGCTTGCTCGTTGGACCCCCTTTTGCTTTCAGAATCACTTAATATTTGTGGCACAGATTCATCAAAGTACTGGAAACATTCCTCAGAGATTTTAGTCCATGTTTACACGATGGCATTTTGCAGTTGTTGGTTCTGATTCTAATCGTTGAGTTTGAGAGGATCTGAGCTTTGTGACGTGGTGCAGCAGCCAAACTCGACTAGATGTTTTTCAAATCTTCTACCGCCTGACTTTGATGACCCTGTGTGAACTGTTGCCTCAGTTTCTTGTTCTTAGTTGACAGGAGTCGTCTTCTTCTCCTGCAGCCCATCAGCTTCAATGTGTTGTGTGTTCAGGGATGCTCTTTTGCATAACTTGGTTGTATCGAATTACTGCTGAGTTAGTTACCATTCTGAACTCGGACATTCCACTTACTGCATATTTTCTCTTTTTCTGACCATTTTCTGTAAATCCTTTATCTATGTGAGGGAAAAACCCAGGGGTTCATCAGTTTCTGAAATATTCAGGCGATAACAATCATGCCACATTCAGCAGGTGGCTTTCAAGATGTTTGCATGCCTAAATGCACTGCTGTAAACGTGATTACCAAGTTGATATTTGTTTTAACAAGCAATTGTACGTATGCACCTAACAGCTTAATTACGCACCTAATACGTCATGTGAAATTTTTTAAAAAGTTGCTTTTGTCATGAGTTGCACTCATGCACTCTGCTTGTATCACATGTCCGGGCTGCGGTAAGGACAATGAGAGCGATGATCCAATCTATGAGGGTCCAGAACACGAAGCAGAGAATTACAACTGCAGTATAGTTGAGCAACAACCAGGACAGGACAAGACAAGTGAAGCAAAGTACAAGCAGCCTGCTGCTGGAGACCTAGCGAAGCCTCCAAGACCCCCCCGAGGGCCAAAACCTCCAGACTGTCAAAGAGGTAAAGGAGAGCAATTCAGAATAATACTGTATAAAGAAATGCAGTTATATATGAAAGCCTCTCAGTGCCTATATGAATTGGGGACACTTTCACAGAGATACTAGACTATATTAGACCTGTCTGTATGGGTAGAGCAGCCTTATTTTTGCTCAGAGATTAGTCTGAGACAAGACTGACAAAAACAAAGACTAATTTCAAGCCAAACAAAATATACACTTTACCCCCAGGCTAACTCAAGACTGTGGCACCAATCAGTGACATTTGCTTTGACTAGTGTGACTCACTGGTAAAAAGAGGAATGGCTTCAAATTTGTGGTTTGCTAACATTATTATGCAGCTTTTTTTGAGGCTGTAGCACTGAAAATGTAGCTCTGCTACAGGTTTCTGTGATGAGAATTTTTTGCAGCATTTTATGCTTACCTACCTACACTGTACAATTTCTTCTAAGGTTTGACTATTTGATTTATTTATTATATTTTTTGGAAGTAGCTAATTCTCCTGCTCCTCCTTTACCTAGTATGCTTTGAAACCAGAACTGGCATTAATGTGTCCTGAATGTATGATAACATGTGCACAGAGCCTCTTCCTGATCCACCACTCTCTCAAAGAACCTTCAAACCTCCACTGCCATCAACCCCAAGGGGGGATCACATCCTCCAAAGACCGTTAAAACCAGCAGGTAACAAAAATGTGTTGAATCAACAAGCTGAATTTACCAGTTATGATGAGTGTTGTACGCCCACTTCATTGAAAGATTTCCTTTTTTTTTAAATTTATAAGTGCCTGCAAGTGTGCACATAGACCGGAGCAAGAAGCCTGGATCATCCCAGAAAGACATTCCAAAAATAAGTATGCAACCTACAACATGCTGGAATAGTTATAGCAGGTGTCCTACAAAAGTGTTACGCTGTTGTCTCAATGTTTATCATTTCTATTTCACACCATGAACAATGTCCACAAGAGGGCAGTGCTGTAAAAGATACTATCAGCAAACCTCATCATCCAAAGGTGCCTGTGCCTACTGATGTGTCCAATAGGTAGAACAGCTTGAACAATTTATGAGCATAAAAAGCCGTTCACTTTAATTCAATGTAACTATTTAATAATTGTGTGTGTTGAATCTCTCCTCTTTCAGGCCAAGTAAATTAATTCCAGAACCTTCAGTAGTGACACAATCTACAGAAGAATACAATTCGACACCAAGACTAAAAAAGGTATTTTAAAAAAAAAAGTGTTTTAAGTTATTTATACAAATGTGAGAAAACCCAATGGTCCAATTAAGGTTTTATTTATAGATCATGAGTACTTTCAGAAAGGAAACAGCAGATCACAATGCTGTACAAAGAGAAAGAACAACAGACATGCTTATAGCTTATAAATTGCCTTTTATTAACTAGTCTAACTGGAACTGTCTGTGATAGCACTACACTTACACTGACTGTTCTATCATGGTGCGCTCAGGGCTTGGATTCGAGTTGGTATGGAGGAAAGTTGACAAGACACCAAGCTGAGGCTGCTCTTCGGGAGGTCAACAAGGTCAGATGCTGCACCTTCTCATTCTAAAGCAGACAGATAAACACACACACACATCTGAAATGTTACTGGATGCGTAATGTGAATGTATGGGTTTGTGTATTTACATGTATGTATCTTTAAGGATGGTGCCTTTGTAGTGAGGGACAGCTCTAAAGGCTCAGTCGAGCACCCCTTCACCCTGATGCTTCTGTATCAAGACAAGGTTTACAACATTAAGATCCGTCACCAAGGCAACGGCTACACTCTCGGCAGTGGCCTCAAAAACACCAAGGTAAACTGGAAGCAATGACAGCGTAATGTTACAAAAAAAAAAAATCAACATGCTCGCTTAAAGTAAACTGATAAGTTCACATCTTGCGGCACGTCTCGGGGAACGTGTGATGCTAAATTGTGCTGCACTGCATCATTAGGTCCCCGTCATTTTCTGTGTGTAATGTTTGTGCTTCAGAGTTTCCCTGGGGTGAAGGAGCTGATTAACCATCACACACACACCCCGCTGCAGCTCATTGATGCCACAGACCAGAGTCATGAAGAGCATCCCCAGAGTTGTCTGCTGCACCCTACGGGACATTGACCAGCACTGACAACAGTCTCAATGTGCGTGTTCGCACCTTTCTCTGTGCTCATATATGCTAATCTGTGTGCATGCATGCATGCGTGGCCTATTCAAAATCTTTTAAAGAACATGTAAAGCAAATGTCACAATTTTCACTCTCAAAGGTCATTGTTATGCAATTCATCTTTGTGCTGCTCTCACTTGTATTTTTAGTAAACACACAGAGAGATTTTTTTTTCTTACATGGGTCATGGTTTGTTCACAAAGGAGCATAGCATTACCTCCTTTATTCACACCTCTGAGGACTGCTGCCTCACTGCCTCTTGGATTTTTAGAGACGCCAACTTGTCAGGGTGGCCAACACAAACGATCAGATCACATTGTCTCTGATGGGTTCGCACTGCCGGCAGAAAGCAAATATCTTGTTTCACAGCTGTGTCAGATCTATCAAATATTATTACACTTTAAAACCACACAGTCTGAATTTAAAAACGAAACACAAAACATGTACTGGCATATTAGGTTGCTTTCTAGTTTGTCTTGCTATTTCAAACAGCACTATTATTTCAGTGTGACTGACAGCAACATATGTTTTTGTGTCCCAGATTTACAAAGCAATGTAATGCAAGCCAAATTAGTTGAATTTGAGAGATGTGCTGATGGACACATTTGTCCTTTATTTATTTAGTACATCAGGACTTAGCAGGGCAGCTCAAATAAGTCAACAGATATAGACCAAAAACTGAGTGAGATATGTATTTGATCCCATACAATCCAGCCAGAACTCAGGTTGTCCCATGTGACACTTAATCAGTCAAACAATTATAGATACTCCTGAGCTCAACTCATTATGTATATTAAGCACACCTGTCTACAGAATTAATTTCTTCCACCAAAATGGGTGAGACCAAAGAACTGTCAGAGGACATCAGGGACAATACTGTAGATTTGTACAAGGCTGGATTGGGCTACAAGACCATCAACAATAAGCTTGGTGAAAAGATAAAAATTATTAGTGTGACTATTTTACAATTAAAGAAATATATAATGAAATTTAATCAAGGCTTTGCATTTATTTAGAAGTGAAACAATGTTTTCCACTTAAGCGTCCAAAAATATTATACCTAAAACACTTTAACATTAACTCAAGTACACGTTGTATGACTTGTTGTTGGGGATAACTTAATTCATTGCAAAAATGTACTATATCAAGACATAATTTTAGATTAAACATATATATATATATTTGGGTCCAGGCTTTAAGATATTTAAGTGAGCAGATAAGAAAGTCACACTGATCTGACAGTTGTTGCACAAAGCTGTCCCCCATGGCAAAAAAAAAAAAAAAGGTAGCTGCATGCCTCACATCAAAGAGCCTGATGGACAACCACGTGTAAAACCCTTCAGTTACTCCTATCTACCAATCAGCAGAGCACAGTTTGATAGACATCATGTAGTATCACGCAGATCTGCACCACTGACACCGGCAAGCAAGGCTGAGCCAGCCCATAATGCCCTTGTAGTTATCACATTTCACATCTGGGAGAGGAGTTTCATCATCTGCTTTGCATATTTGCAAATTGATCAGCAACTCCACGTTAGTGGCAAAAATGATTGTTTTCTGACATTTTTGAAGTACTAAGTAAGGGAGTCAAACATACGTGCCAGATGATCCAAGGCGCTTGAAAGGGAATCTAGCTCTCTCATCATGTTCACCAGGTCAATGCAGGTGTTAGAGGTAGCTTCTTCTTCAACCTTCTTTGTGTTCTCCATCTGAAAATGAAGTTCATACACACAAAAAACAGTCAGTCACCTAACAGCATACACAAGGTAAATCAAATGTGACAGACAATCATGAATGGCAATGTTGTATTTCAGCTAAAAGTAATCCATAACAGTAAAATTAAAACACACATTTTACTGTTTACATTTAGGGTAGGGCTCCAAAAAACAAAGAAAAAAATGACAGAACACATTCTTATTTCAATTTTTATTAATTTATTTAATTAATTTACTTAAAAAAATCTTTGTAAAAAAAATTACACAGACCAGGGCAGTTTAATAGTGAGAAAACAAACATTACAGTCCATTCAAATGAATAATTAACCATCAAAATACTGTTTTAGTGCAAGTAGTAAGAACTAAACAAGGCTTAAATGCCCACCTCCAGCTACCAAAAACAAACAGATCCACTGGGATTTCAATGTTAACATTTAAAAGTTAAAATTGGTAATTCTAGTGCGGTACTTGTGAACTCAAAACTCTTATAAGCATCACATCTGAGAAAGTGTTGTGACAGCAGTCTCAGCAGATTTATCAATCTGTGACTCCTGGTCAGGGTCTCCGCAAACAGCAGCTCTACATTTGAGATAAGCTTCCTTCAGCTTTTGCATAGAGACTCCCAGCTCCGGACTAGTCCGCAACGCCACCATATCATAGGCCATCCAGGTCAGGTGCGCTGCGGGCAGACAGATAAGAAGAGAGTGACATTGCATGTTTCAGACATTTATTTTAGTTACCTAAGCTTCACGCCCAAGCTATCTGAGCTCATATTTACCTCTCTAAATATGCCACAATACAGTTAACGTCCCATACCTGACATACTTTCAACGTCTTCAATCATCCTCTCCAATTCCTTGTTCATCTCCAACATGTCGTCGTCGCTGATGCGTGGAAGCTCGGAGCGAGTGGACGAATCGGCCATCCTGATTGCACACGTATTATTTATTTTATCACGTCTCCCTTTACAAACACCTCCGCATGAAAATAGCTAACGTTAGCTAACGCTAGGAACGAGCCTGTTACTGTTAGCAAAGTGATGTTAGGGCAGAAAAAAATTAGCAAAGTAGACTTCTAAAACTAAGATGTTGTAACATTTGTCGAGGCAGGCTAGTAAACTTCTCGCCGGGGCCTGAAGGTAATGTTTAAAACTTATAAACTTACCTTAGGAAAGTTTGTCGGTTGCTTTGGAAAATAAGGGTCTCGCGCTAATGTAAGAAAGCAAAAATAAGCATGCGCATTGTCAAGTCACAAACGCTCACTTTGAACTGTGATGAGGTTTTAATATCCTACACAGTAATGCACTATTTTAACACATGAATTGAATAAACCTATTGTAACAAAACCTGCTATCATGCGAATAGAGTGTAGGTGACTGTGTTCTTTATATTATCATAAATGGTCATTTGGATTCAGCAATGGAAGCCTATATTATTTCAAGGAGGTAATCTAGTCCCCCTAGAGTTATATAAACTGAATCTGCTTACAGTCCATTTTCCTCATTACTGCTGGAGGCAAGTATTAAGTGAGTACGTTTCCTGTTTGTTGTCTAACAATATATATTGATGTAATATATTGTTTTGTTCATGAACAATATACTGTTTCCTTAAGGCTATTTCTTAAGGATTTTTGAGATCGTTTACTCAAGTTGTCTACTTTTATATGTTTAACATGAATTGTTTGTAAAGATTAAAAAGAAATCATAAACCAGGGTGTTAACAAAAGTGTCTGTCTACTGTTAGGTTAAACTTAATAGTATCCATGTAATATCCAAAAAACATGACAAATGGTGGACAAATACCATGAGTGGAAAATTATTTTTCCACTCAAGTAGTCAACTAGCTGACAACAGGAAAAAAATGAGCTCACCTGAAAAAACAGCCAATCAAAATAGAGGGGGGCGTTTCCAGAGGAAAAGATAAAAGTGTGCCAGGTGACATCTTGACATACAAGCAAGGACAAAGACAAGAGTAAAGAGCAAGAGCAGGACTTTTGGAGTGGAGAGAAAGAGTCTGAGAAGTCTTGAGAAGAAAACCCATCAAAGGCAAAGAATTAAGAAGAGACAGAGAAGTGAGAAGAAACTTGACAATGTCTTCATTTGAGGCCCAGAGTCAGTCTCCTCCTCGATGTGGCCCGCAGTTTCCGAGCCTCGGCCAGGAGCCCCCTGAACTCAGCATGTACGGCGACTGTTACTACCCTCCTCCGTCACTGCCAAGTCCTCAGCGCACTACTCCTACCACCTATGAGATAAGTGACTACACCAGCTCCTCCTCAAACCCTTACCTATGGTTTAACAGCTCTGGGATCAACACATCGCCGTACCTGGCTACCACTGGCCCGCCAGGTAATCCCGGCCCTCCGTTTGTTCCTCAGCACTATGGCATGCAGAGGCCTTATCTGGGTCCACCTGGTGCTGGCGGTCCAGGAGGGGAACTGAGCTGGTTCTCCCTCCCTTCACAAGAAGACTTGATGAAGCTGGTTCGCCCCCCTTACTCCTACTCTGCTCTCATCGCCATGGCTATCCATGGAGCACCAGACAAGAGACTGACGCTGAGTCAAATTTATCAGTACGTCGCTGATAATTTCCCTTTCTACAACAAGAGCAAAGCGGGCTGGCAGAACTCTATCAGACACAACCTGTCCCTTAATGACTGCTTCAAAAAAGTGCCAAGAGATGAGGATGACCCAGGTATGTAATTTTTGCATTTTGCATAGTTATGGTTGTGCTTTGAATTACTTTAATGGAATCTATTTACATCTCTTCCATTCTAAAAGTCTTATTTTCTTCCTTGATAATTTAGGTAAGGGCAACTACTGGACACTTGACCCAAACTGTGAAAAGATGTTCGACAATGGAAACTTCCGCCGCAAAAGAAAGAGAAAGTCTGATTCTCTGTCCAGTGGAGATGGCAGTTCAGGGCCTCCAGAATCAGGTGACAGCGAGAGGGCCAGCCCTAAACACTCCAGCAACCCCAGCCTAAACATGTCGCCCGCAACGGACAGGATTCCCTCACCATCACTGTCAGGTCCCGGGCCGTGCCTGAGCAGCTTCTTATCTGAAATGTCTGGAGTCTCCAATGGGGGAACAAATGAGGTGGGAGGTAGTGTGTTGAGCAGGCCGCTGCAGATGAACGTTCCTTTAGATGGGCCACATAGACCCACGCAGCCAGGAAGCTTTAGTACCTACTCGGCCAACTCCAGTGGTTCAGAGTGGGTACCACAAGTTCCAGCTCCACCCGCACTCTCCTCTTCACCCAGCCACTCCTCGCTAGGTTACACTAGCCCCATTCTCAATCAGTACAATGGCTCCAACAGTCATTTTTATCCTACACTGAGTTCTACAGGTGTCATCTATCATCGTGAGGGCACAGAGGTTTAATAAGACGTTAATGGGGGAGAAGGTGTTTGAAGAGACTCTTTGATGGGAAATCCGTCTGGTTATTTTTTTTTCTAAGAGAGGGTCCGTTGTAGAAAATACACAAACACAAAGTGTGTTTGCGCTGACTGAGACAGTTGAGATCACCAAAGCGTGCGAAAGCTGCGTAAAAAGTCTTTAATTCCCACAGGAACAGCTTAGTCAGCTGCAGCGGACTACAGTTGTCACTCCCTGAAACCGCAGCCAGACTCACTATCAGATCTTCAGTCAGCTTTTATTCTAACTAAAGCTTGTTTCTATCTGATCTGAGTCATTATTAGCAGATTCTAGATCTGAAGTGCTGACATCAGGCTATTTCACTGCTATCTATGATTCTCCGATGGTATCGCCATTACAATGCTCAGCATATTTAGAGTAGGTAAGTTATTCTGTTGTCTACAAAGCATGTGTAGTTATTGCTGTAAAGTAAAAAACAAGTAAAAATGAGAATGTATGCCATGTTTGTTTTTTTATAGTGCTAAAACAAAAGCATCTCATTGACCTACAGTCTTAACAGTAATTGCAGTTTGTAAATATGTTTATGTGTTGTGTAATTTTATACATGTGAGCTGTTGGTTTGTCGGTACAACTTGTATTGTGTAAAATGGATTTGCAATGTATGGTGTGTACTATATTTGTTGCATTTTGATATGAATAAAAAGTTTGAGTTACAGCTGCGTTTTTTTTATTATTTATTTTTTAATTTTTTTTATTTTAAGATAAATAAATTACACTTTCCCGGTCAATAAACTACCCATAGGCAATCACAAACACTTACCAAAAAAAGACAGAAAAATAAAATGATAAGCACTTCGTGACAAAAAAAATAGTCCTGTCTGAAAAGCGATGACCAGTACTGTGGAACCTGCATGTCGGTGTAACCTGATCTTTGTGTGATGGATAGTTAACTGATTCTCCTAAACGGTGAAAATCCACATTCCCATGCTGTCCCTCTTCCCTACTCTAAACACTAAAATCATTCTCTATCACACCATCTGTGCACACATACTGCTGACTGGATGCAAGCAGCTTCATTAGGGGAAAGGGGACCAACTGTAAAACAGCAGTAAAGATGCTGATGCATGAATTACCAACTAAATGAAAACAGCAGCTCAATCCAGTTTGCATCATGTTCATTTGTTATTACCCGATGAATTTTAATACTGTCAAAACTGTATACCAAAGGAGAACAATCCTAACAATAAACGAGAACGAATTAAATCAAAGTGCCAAGAATAAATACGTTTTTTATTTGTACATCAATAAATAAAACAAAAATGTGTAAATATTTAAGTGTTGTATACATTTTGGAGAAAAAATATAACATCTAATAAAGAAATAGTACTTATTACAAAACTTGTGTGAACTGAATTTGCAACTTTAATGTAACTTTGTAAAGTCAGATCTATCCAAGAAATTGGATTTATATATCTTGACAAAGTAGTTCTTACCAGCACAGTCATATAACAAGATAACTTACATTTTGTATTTAAGCACTTGGAATTTATTAAAGTATACATGTATACTGGATTTGTGAAAATTTGAAAAATCCATCTAACAATAATAATAATAAAAAAACATTAAAAGCAATGCCTATCGTCTTGGTTGTTTTAATTGTTTCTTTTGTTGATTTAAAAAGATCTAAACTCTTTGATCAATGTCACCCTCGGGCCTTTATTTACCCTGAAATAAAGGCAGCATGACACTCATTTATACTAAACACAAAAACAAGAAGAACAAGAAGAAGAAGATGGAAAAGACATGGAAAAGACACACTTTCAGAAACAGATCAGGTGGAATTTAACATCTTGGCACAAAGGAAAAAGTGTACGAGGTCAACCTGTCAAAATTTGCATAACTGATTTTAAAGAGGTTGCGTTCAGATGGGCCATAAAGTCTTGTTTTATTACTTGTGTCAGACTTGCTAGGATATCTGATTTAACTGTTTGAAAAATAGCCACCCTTATGCCAAATCTAAACTCTTCAACTCATTCAGGGAATTAGTCTTCTCGGAGGCAATATGATTTCCAAGTATATGAAGATTCAGTAAAAGACAAAGAGACGGAAGTCAGAGATAAAGGTAAGAGGAGGAACGTATAGTCAGTATTGCTGCATATGCGTTCCAACATGTCGCACTTCTATCTCTAAATCCTTGGCACATTGAAAGGTTCATGCAGCCAATTAGTTTATTCCCCAGCCCCCACCCCCACCCCCAACTCCATATTGTGTGCAGACTTTGTACTGGCAGGTAAAAGTCCTTTTTGCCTAGTCGATTAAGCCTGAGTACTTTTGCCAACAGAAACATTATAGGACTTATGTTTCGGAGACTCCAAAGGAAACTGTCATTTTAGGCAGACAGTACAAAATCGATGCAAATTCTTAACTGTTTATCACATCAAGCCTGGAAATCGTGTAATCTGGAATTCCAGGTGGAGCCTTTCAAATAATAAACGGTAAAACCTGAGGGATTTCACTTACAGACTTCTCTGAAACCAAAGTCAATTTTCTTTTATTGAAACTCATAACACAATATGTTTCAGTATCTTGGAACTTCCCCTGCCTGTTACTCTGTTTATTGATTTAGACTGAACATTGTCTTTATGTGGACAGATCATGCATTCGTCTTACGTGATATAACATCCAATTATGCTTAATTTCTCTCCTGGCAGTTCTTCTCACCTGTCTTTATCTGTTGCCGAGTCCAAAACTGCACGTCTACTGAAATAAAAAACTTTTAAGAGGTGCTTGAATCTCTGTCTTTACCTTATGAAAATGATAGTGAAAGTGAAAAATTAAGCCAATAAGCACTTGTATTGACAACTAATCTGCATCTATTGTGAGGCACAGTCGCTTTTCTGTGTCTCAGGGATACCCAGTAGAGCATCCATTAATCATACAGAGCTGTGAACCTTCTTTGCCTTAGGCAGTGGAAATATTGCTCAATAGAGTGATGTGATTAAAATCTATATATCCTCATCTCCACCTGCCGCCTGGCTCGTGGCTGTCTTCCACACACCTGCCAAACTAACGGAACGCATGGCCCGTGTGTAGTGTTTATATTATAAACTGAGACAGAGAACGATTATACCAGAGGTGATGTGCATGAGAGATCTTTCCTGTCTGAACTCTCCTGATTATAAATGTGTGAGGGGTGGGGGAATAAAATCACACCTCACTGTATAGAGAATAAGGTCTGGCAGGAATGAGTTCATGTTTATTCCTCCAAAGTGAGCAGATGCACCACTTCACCTTGAATAACTGCTACCTGAACAGAAAGCTAACTGCTGTGGTACCAAAGCAACCCAAAACACACACAAGGACACACCACACGCGCCTTCTGTATTTACTAAAACAGTCATGTCCTGTCAAAGCTGTTTAGTAAACGGTAGAACATCAAGCCTGGAGAAATGTCATCATACCCATGGCCACAGCACTGTATTAGCAGCTTGCTGTTATGTGTAAACACCTCCACACACTCCACAGGTGATGAAAGGAGGGAAATCGGTTTACGCGAGTTTTGAAAGTCACTCAGCACTCTTTTAGTTTTCAATGCTTTTCAAAGGTCAGTTCAAAAAGCTGGCTTTGTATGAGGTCTTACATCCCAGGATCCAAGTCCATGAAGTACTCTTATATTTAAAATTCTTCACATTTTAAATTAACCGTTGACAAATGAAATGCCACTGATCCTCATGACACAAAGAACAGGAGACTTTAAGGTGTCTAAATAGTCTCAGCAGATTGGTCCAAGAGCCATAGTCCATAGGAAAATTCCTTCAGTTGTCCCTAAGAAAAGTGTAAATCTTCAGCAGCTCCTTCCCTGTACTGCATCCCTGTGTCGCAGAGTCCAGAGAATAAAGCAGTGACTGATCTGCACTTGTTAAACATGGTTTATATACACGATTTGGGGAAAAGTGAAGTTTGAAGACAAACACAGAAAGGAGTGAGACGGTGTGTATATATGAATCATTCCTATTTCCCCCTAAAATATTTTCCATGTCAACATGCAGTAAACATGGCGATATGAACAGGGCTTTGCTGAGAGGGAGGGAGATGAAGAAATACGAGTGGGATAAAGTGTATACATACATCTCAAATCAGCTAAGCTAAATAAGTAATCTAAGAAACTGGAACAGCATCTTATGTAACTTGTGTAACCTTTTTTCCCATATTCCCATTTTTTTGACCAATAGTATTTGTGAGCATTTTACTTTTGATCTGATGGGACTAGTTAATGGTAGATATAAAATTAACAAGTATCTAAAAGTAAAATCCACACTGGTGTCTTGTGAAGCTATGGCAGTATTAGTATTTTGGTCAGTAAGTCTAACCCTTTTAATCAAAAATTAAATATCAGAACTATTGGAAGCATTATCAGTAATTTTGAATCCATGTTTCCTGGGGACAGGATCTATCGACTTTCATTGTAATTGTTTTTTGACAATTATAAGCTGGATTGCTGTAAAAGTTTTAGCAGATACTCATGTTGTGTATACTCATCAAACTGTTAATTATTTGCATCATGCTAGTACGGGATTAGACCTCTTTTTGCCTACTTTAATTCTTTGTGACATAGATTTAACAAGGTGCTGAAATCATTCCTCACATATTATGGTCATATTTACATGGTAGCATCACATAGTTTCCTCAGATTTGTCAGCTTAACATCCGCTCTACCACGAAAGGTGCTCTGCGAGATTAAAATCTGACTGTTGAGACCTTTGAGCCCATTGATGAAATGAGATAATATGAGGTTTGTGACATGGTGCATCATCCTGCTGGAAGCAGCCACCTGACGACAGGTATACCGTGGTCATAAAAGGATAGATGTGGTGGCAGTAATACTCAGCTAAGCTGTAGTGTTTAAACAGTCCTCAATTAGTACTAAGGGACCCAAAGCATGCCAAAAAATACACACACCTTTAGACCACCACCATTAATACAACGCAGGATGAATCAATGCTTTCATTTTTATGCCAAATTTTGAATCTGCTACTCAAATATCTCAGCAGGAAATATGTTGTCTGGTCTTATGACTCCTGATTTCTGCTGAGATATTTGAGTGTGAACTGTGATATCCTGTGTGAACTGTGGTCTCAGTTTCCTGCCATTAGCTAACAGGATTGGCCTCTGGTACGGTCTTCAGAGATGGTCTTCTGAATACTTTCTTTGTAATCACTCTTTTTTTTAGTTACTGCTACCTTCCTTTCAACTCATAGAAGTTTAATGATTCTCCTCAAACATCTAGTATCAAGTAATTTAATAACTGATATTATGTACATAATAAAGTGATCAGGGAGTCAACATTGTAATGACAACAATGGATTCTATTTCATGTATTATAATTGGTAGATCAGTGTGGATCCTTTAATATCACATCAGAAGAGAGATGAAGGTGAGCTGAAGAGTTTGTGGACAAGACACTGAACTGTAATGTCTGCAGACAATATTGTGATCTGTAGTGAAATTAGGGAGCAGGTGGAAGAGAGCCTGGAGAGGTTTCGGTATGCACTTGAGAAAAGAGGAATGAAAGTCAGGAGAAAACAGTTGTGTGAATGAGAGAGAGACAGGTATAACAGTTTCACCTGAGCTTCTTCTCCTTCTGATATACTCCCATCTA